TGAAGGCGGCTATAACCATTTTGTCTACTCGTTCTGGTGCGTTGAATGTTGCTTTGTTGAATCTAAATACAAAGGCTTGTAACGACTCATCCTTTCTTTGTTTGCATCCTTGGAAGCTTAAGCATCCATTGTGTATTTCCTTTGTTGTATGAAATTTCACACGAAGTTTTCACGTAATTGGTTGAAATTATGTATGCTTTCTACCGGCAGACTTTAATACCATAATTGTGCATGTGCTGACAACATGTTTGGAAAAAATATGCACCATTATTTATTGTCTAACTAATAGGAGTCCATTTTCCATTTGTATTTTTCAATGTGATCACCAGAACCGACATACTTTGAAATCGCAGGTAAGTTCGTGCGCACTGGTAATTGGTACCTACAGATACTTCATATCAGAGGTGAATTGTTTGATCGCAGAACACCATAATGGTTGAAATTTATGTTCCTTTCTGGCGATGCTTCTAGAGTAATTGTGTGTTGCATCCAATAAATTTGTGGTATTGCTTGATTTCTAAAGATGTTCGGGGAAAGTTACATTGGTTGGTTAATTGAGGCCATGACATTATGCATATAGAAATGGTAGCGGCATCGGTACGTAAGGTTGGACATTTTGATGTATTCATATTGTGGTTGCCGCCAAATGTTGTAGAAAGGGTGATATGATTTGCATAGTTTTATCATTGTGTCTAGGAGTTGACTTGGATGGTCAATGTATGTGTTCGACTTCCTTATGCTGGAACTACTTATTCTTTTCATAGTGTCCAAATTTGTTTTTCTAGTTTTCCTTGCCTCCACAATTAGTTGTTTTGTTGGCGTTATTATTGGTAAAGCAGTACTTGTAGGGTGAACACAAGGATTAAATTGATTAGACTGAATGGTGAATTTGACGAGGTTCGTGAGGTGTGGTGCTTGTCTTGCATGATTATTTCGGATGTTACCAAGAAAGCTATGTAGCTTCTAGGTCTAACACTTGTTCCGGGATGTACAAAGGCTTTTTCTGGGATGAGCTCATGCGATGGTGCTATAAAGAAAGATACGCTACAAAATAGATAGACACCAGGTCAAGATCATTTCAAAAGGGAGTCCCAGTAATGTTCTCTGATGCCTAAGTTAGAATCGGAAGTAAATGATGCTTAATGTTGTTTTATTGAGAAAGATAGCTTGGAAAAGGATGCCCTTTTTACCTATCTTTACCAAGGTATTTAAATACAGATAGTGGATCCTTGGTTACTAGTGTTACTCGAGTGGTAGACTGGTAGTATTGCCATGTGATAATAACGATATAACCCTTTAATAAAATAGTAGAGTTTTTTTTCTCTATTTCCCGGGATGTCGTGTGACTAGCGTTGAAATACTTTTTAATTAAGGTGATGCTCTTTCGGATGCATTCCTAGAGGCGTCCGACTACAGAGAGCCGGCCTGGTCCATGTTGCAATACCAGGCCGGTTAGGTCAGTTAATTTGTAGCGTATGGTTGTTATGTATGGGCTGATTATCGTACACTATTACTTAATATATGTTAATAAGAGTTAATATTGTTAAAAGAAACATATTTTTATGTATGTTATGATATAATAAGATAAATAGATTTATTATAAGTGATATGATCAAGTGTCATTTAAAAAACAAACATAAATATTTTGTTAAATCTTAATAATATATATATATAAATTCAAATGAGAACAATTATATAGTTGAGAATAAGAAAACAAATTTGGACCATATATATATATATATATATATATATAATATATATATATATATATATATATATATATATATATATATATATATTGCCACAAAACTCTTGCACGTACTGGTGCGAAAGAGGTATGTAATATCATATGTGAATATAAAGGTATGTATATTCTTGAATATTTCAAATCCACCGCTTAAGCGCTCCAGCATACAGTAACGACACAACAGATAAATTCATATATCAATATTATATATATATATATATATATATATATATATATATATATATATATCTATATATATATAGAGAGAGAGAGAGAGAGGAGGGTTCAATTGAGAAAAAAAATGTTGAGAATGATGGAACCATTCTCAACCAATCATTTAATAAGCTTAAAAAACGCGCGGTGGCAAACTTGTAAATAATCCAAATACATTAATGAGCGGTGGCAAATTTGTAAATAACCCAAAAACATTAAACCGATAGTTCAGTAATTTCATCACACATCAAATCTCGACAGAAAACCATCATTTCCTTCTTCGATACCCCATAACACGACAACCATTTGCAAAAACATTCAGTAACATAAAGGATTCTCAACATCGATAAGAAGAAAACGAAGAAAATTGTCTTCCAATGAAAACATGAACGAAACCATTTTCTCACTCTTGACTACGAAAGGTAACCATCGGCGTTTTTTTCTTCAATTTTTAACGATTTCTAATCATTTCTAAAATTATCACTTGATTACTTGAAATTTTCTGTAATCTCCATTCATTATTAGTTGATTTAGAACTAAAAATTTTGTTTTCACACTGTTCATTCTTCAAACTAGGTTGTTTACTTCAAATTTTGTAATAATCGTTCATTCTCGTAACCCTCCTTCGTTATTACTTGATTTACTTGAAATTTTTGTAAGAATCATCCATTATTAGTTGATATACAAATGATTTTACATCTTCTCTTCATTTTTCATACTTATTCACAACTCGTCTGTCAAAATATAAACGTTACTTCACATTTCACTTATGTTTTCCTAATATTAACTACTTACCCTTACTGAACACAAGCAAAACTAATATTCATATCTGCATACAACAAAAATGACTTATATATGTTCTATTCACATATGAATATAACATACATATTCATATGTGAATAAAAACTATGAATATATATGTTTTATTCAAATATTCATTTGTGAATATGTATGTTATATTCACATATGAATAGAACATAATTTGTTGTCATATATACATTATTCAAATACAAATACAACAAAAATGACTTATATATGTTTTATTCACATATGAATATAACATACAAATTCATATGTGAATAAAAAATATGAATATATATGTTTTATTCAAATATTCATTTGTGATTATGTATGTTATATTCACATATGAATAGAACATAATTTGATGTCATATATACAGTATTCAAATATGAATACAACAAAAATGACTTATATATGTTCTATTCACATATGAATATAACATACATATTCATATGTGAATAAAAAATATGAATATATATGTTTTATTCAAATATTCATTTGTGAATATGTATGTTATATTCATATATGAATAGAACATAATTTGTTGTCATATATATATACATTATTCAAATATGAATACAACAAAAATGACTTATATATGTTCTATTCACATATGAATATAAATACATATTTATATGTGAAAAAGAAAATGAATATATATGTTTTATTCAGATATTCATTTGTGAATATCAAACTCATTTATCTTCTACTCACTAATGAATGAAGGTAAGAAGACTAACATTTCCAAAAAAGATTCACCAACAATGAGACAAACACGATCAATGCAGAAAAATCAAAAAGGTATAAAATACATATCATATCTTTTATATCCCTGCTATAATTTATAAATAACTTGTATATCCCACCTATAATTTTCTTCTATTAACATATGAATAATTCAATCTATATATGTTTTATATTAAAAAAAACTATTGAATTCTTGTATTCATATATGAATAAATATATGGCTTAGTTTTGTTTGTATTCAAAATCTAATCATATGTGAATGGAAACAAGTATTCATACCTTTATGTTGTTTTGTTTTGGAACATTTTTGTTTTGAAATTGGTGATTGATCTTTAGTATCTTCACATATGAATATAACATATATATATATATATATATATATATATATATATATATATATATATATATATATATATATATATATATATATATTCACATGTGAATATATAAATATGTATACATCTATTATATTCATTTATGAATAACTTATATATCCCAGCCATAATTTTCTTCTATTAACATATGAATAATTTAATCACAATCTATATATGTTTTATAATAAAAAAAAACTATTGAATTCATGTATTCATATAATAATAAATGTATATCGCTTAGCTTTGTTTGTATTTAAAAGCTAATCTGTATGGAAACAATTATTCATACATTTATGTTGTTTTGTTTTGGAACATTTTTCTTTTGAAATTGGTGATTGATCTTCAGTATCTTCATATATATATATATATATATATATATATATATATATATATCTATAGATATATATATATATATATATATATTTGTTATCTTCATTTATTCTTTTATCAATATAAAATATTTTCTTTGTAAAATGTATTTCAAAATTATTTATCTTCTACTCACTAATTCATGAAGGTAAGAAGATTTGAATTTCTGATAAATACCCCACAACAATGATAGAAACAGATTTGAAGAGGAAAAATGCGAAAGGTACAAAATTCCTATCATATCTAATATATTCATACATGAATAAAATTGTATATCCTACTTATATTTTTGTAATAAATAAATATTAATAAATCAACAAGCATATATCATATTCATATATCAATAACTTATTCAAATATTATATGTTTTCATTTCCGAGATAAAAAAGAAACAAAAACACCAAAGAAAAGAAAGCATCAAAGCAGAAAAAGTCCATCAAAAAGGAAAACTCCTGAAAAACGACAACTACATGATTCAGAATCTGATTTTGAAAGTAGTCGTCCATCAAAGAAGGCAAAAAAAAAGGAGTCACCAATCAAGAGAGAGAAAACAACCAGTGGTAAAGGAATTTTACTCGATGAAAAACAGATGTTCACCAGAGTCATTACTATCTATAATCCTTGGGTTGAGAAAAAAACAAAAAGAGTGTGTAAGATCTATGGGTTTTGGACGTTTGCTAAAAATGAAAATCACATATATACCACTTAAGCTGGGATTTTATATTCTTCAAAAATTTGATTATGAGAGAATGTTGATAGATGTTGAAGGAAATGAACTGAAAGTAACACCACAGTCTGTTCATGACATGTTGGGCATTCCAATAGGTGGAACCATACTTACACAAATGGATCAATGGCCTAAAGATGATACTAGTTATGATGAATGGAAGCAACAGTTTCAAGAAGGATTAATTATCCGATTGAATGCGATCAAAAAAGTTATTGTTAGTACCACAAAAGCTTATTTCAATTTCAAATTGAACTTCTTAGTTCTTTTTGTCAACACGTTTTGTGAGTCAACATCAATGGGAAAATGCAACATGTTTCCTTTGAGTTATATTTCAAGAAAAACAGATATCATCAACATAGACTGGTGCAGCTCTGTTTTGGACTGTCTTGTCAGAACAAAGAACTCATACATACCATACTCAGATAAGAACTACTTTGTTGGACCTTCAGCTTTGTTGGTGGTAACTTATTATAATGTTTATACTCAATTTTTAATAATATTAATTATTCATAACTGAATATCACATATTCATATATGAATAAGAAAAATATACTTGTTCACATCTAATGCTTTACATTACTTATTCATATATGAATAAGTAAAAAAATAATATTAATTGTTCATATATGAGTATATATATTCATGTATGAATAAGTAATGGTTTGAATTACTTATTCATATATGAGTATCAGTTAGTTATCATTTATGTGCAGTTGTTCTATGCTGATAACATCCACTCAGAAGCTTTAACGGTAACACGTAAACGTCCAACAATTTGTTATTGGAGTTCAGCGAAGATTAGATATCGAGAGACATTTGAACAAGAAGAAGGTAGATTTAGACTTGGAGTATTAAATGAAGAATTCGTTAATGAACAAGATGAAGGAGATATAGATCTCGAAGATGAAGATGAAGACGAAGTTGAACATGAAGATGATTATGTTGAGGTAATTATTTTAAACATTTTAATAATATATGATTACATTAAATTATTATATTAAATTCTAATCATACTTCTTTTTATTACATAGGCATATGAATCAAAAAGATCTAAAATGCTTAATAGTTTTGAGAGGATGAAGGAAAAGTTGAATTCAAAGCTCAATGATGCGATAACAAAGTTCCCTGAAAAGGAAAGTTTTAGGATTTTCAAAGAAAAGATGACAAATATAATTGTTGAAGAAAAAACTGAAAGCACAACACTTTTTGAATTTCCAAGTAATGAAACTAGAGGTGAAGGAATCAATTTGACACCAATAATGGGTTAAAAAACAAATGATCAAAAAGAAAATGAAGATAAAGAGGGAAATGGTGAAGAAGACAATGATAATGATGAAAGTCAACCGGAAGTAGATTATTTGCTTGATTCAAATGAAACAGAGAATGAAGGAATAAAGAATGATGGAGATAAGAATCAAAAAGAAGGTGAAACTGAAGTAAAAGAGAAAGATGGAAAGAACAATGAAAATAACAATGATGAAGAGAAAAAAGATGATGATGCTGAAGAAACAAATAATCATGAAGAGACTATTCAACAAACTGAAAATGAAAATTTGTTGGATAAAGTTGTTGACAACATTGTGGATGAAATCTCGAATGACCCTGAAATGAAAACTATTTTGGATAATATTGATATAGGTAAATTTTGTCTTACTTTTATTTTAAAAAAAATATATATAAATATTAATACACAATAACAATTTTGTTTATTAAAATTTTGACCAGGCTCACCAATGACTAGAAGTAAAACTAATACTCTGATCAGTCAAGTTATTCAAGGTATGTTACTATCAACTTGTTATTTATTCACTAATTCATAAATTAATTATATTTAATATATAACATTAAATGGATCTTGCAGAAAAGAGAAAATCAGAAGGTGTACATAAACAAGGAAAAGAAGTTGAAAAAACAAAGGGAGATGATACAGGTAAATGAATGATTTAAAATATATTACAATATTTATATTGATTTTTTTAATAACATTGTTTATTCATAAGTGAATAATACACTATATAAATGAGTAAAAAATATAAAATATTCATATATGATGTATATGTTTCAAGCAAGGAAAACTCTGAACATGGAAATATAGGAGGAGCAGAAACTAAGAACACGAAAGATGGAGGTGTAGATAAACAAACAGAAATTGAGAAAGAAAATGCAGAAGATAGAGGTAAATTGCTGATTCACTAATAAATGAATATAATAAGTTTTATTATTCACAAATAAATAACACAATATATGAATAAATAAAAAATATAGTATTACTTATTCATAAATAATGATATGCATTACTTATTCATAAATGAATACATTACTTATTCACAAATGAATTACTTAATCAAATTTCTTTATCTTTCAGGAAAGAAAAAGTTAGAAAATGAAAACAAAAAAAGGATAAAAAGCTGACAAGACAAAAGGAAATGAAGGAGGTAACAATTTGGAAAAACATTTCAAAATATAAAAAAATATTATAATTAACTTACAACTATTTATATGATAAATCTCCTAGCATGCAGATACTCATCCAAGCTTTAGTCTAGGTCTCAGTCAAGATTCAGATCAAACTTCAAGTAAAAAATCTAATGAATCTTCACCAAAAAAACCACTTACAAAGAAACAAATCAAAGACGACCATCAGAAGGTTGTTATCAGATTAGCAAACAAAAATGTTCTTAATCCAAAACCAATCTCTGTAGCAATTCCTACTGAAGTAGGACCATAAAAGTATGATCAGGATCAACCAAGAGAGAAGAAGCTTGCTGAAGCTTTCAAATCACCTTTCAAATGCAGAATAATAGACACAAAACCTAAACTGACACATCATGAGAGTATTGTATGTTAGTGGTTGTTCAACTTGCAAGGGAATACATCGTAAGTAACTTTATTTTATAGACATTCATATATGATTATTATATAGATAATAATGTATGACATTTTGATTATATATTTGTAGAGATGTGGTTGTCCATACAAAATATGATCAGATAACAGAAAGAGCAATTATGGAAAATCTATATGCAAGCACATATATTTTTGGAGAAGTTTTAGACACTTGGGCTGATTTACTTAACCACCAAGAACTGGAAAGGGATTTTGGAAATTCACCATACAAACTCTTCTTGAAAGTTGCAGTTTCTGTAAGTTGATGTTCTAACCTTAATTTCTTCTTTATTGATAAATGAATACACCAATATGATGTATTCATTTATGAATATTATATTTTTTTACAAACTGAAATTCACATACGATTATACCAATATGATGTATTCTTTAATATAATTATGTATATTCAACTAAAATTCACATATGATTATGTATTCATCTTTGAATAAAAAATTCAAAAATAAATATCTTTAGTATATACTTATGATTGTTATACCAACATGATGTATTCATTTATGATTAACAATTTACTAATCCTTTAAAATTATATTGGTTACAGACTACTTATCTAACTTCAACATTGTCTGATGAAAGAAAGTATGAAAAATTAAAGGAGAACTTTCTTTCATGACAGTACCGATGGGTACAAAAAAATCTTAAACATAAAAGATATTGATATGGTATGTTAATTAAACTTGTTTATATATATATATATATATATATATATATATATATATATATATTATCAACAAAATACTTACCATTATATACATAAAAACATGTATTCTTTCCAGTTGTTGGAAGTGCTCGCATTTTTGTGATTGTCTTCAACTTAAAGAAACCATCAATTGAAATTCTGGACAACAGTGTAGTTGAGGGGGATTATGAAGGGAAATATGGAGTACTATTGAAACCTTTGGTATGTACACAACTCACAACAACATAAAAGAACCAATTTATTACACATCTAACTTTTATTTTATTTAATGATCAGAAAAATTTGTTTGTGAGATACTTATAAACCATCCAAGAGCAAATGTAATCTCAAAAGAAAGTATCACACCCCAACGACTTGAAATGTCATAGAGAACAGTTAAAAACAAAGTTGATTGTGGGGTCTTTGCAATGAGACATATGGAGACCTATATGGGACAACCAATCTCCAAGTGGAAACCATGTCTTCATAAAGAAAGTGAAATTCAACAAACTACTTTAGAGAAGCTCAAGCAAAGGTATGCACACCGAATGCTAACTTCTGAAATTAACATGTTGAAGGCTAAGGTGTTGGATCTTGCTGAAAAATATCAAAGAGTTGAATTCAAAGTGCGTACTGCTCATGCATACAAGGCTATGAAAACAATTCAAAAAAGGTTTAAAGAATATTGATGATTACTTGTGATGAAGTGTGATGGTATAGAACAGTTTGTGTTGAAGATGAATGAATTTGAAGTACATGTAAGATGATTCTACAAAACAAGTTTTAGATGGTTTGTTAAATGTTATTGAACATCGTTTAAATAGTTTGTGAAATGGTTATGAACAGGTTTTATTATCTTGTGTTGAACGATTATGTAAGAGAAACAAGTTTGCTTATTTCTGTCATTTTTTTATATTCAAATATTTTCAAAGTTTATTTCTGTTTATTCATAAATGAATACGAATATGATATATTCATTTATGATTAAGTTAGAAGTAATATGTCAGTATAACAAAGTTCAGATATGAATATAACAAATTTCAGATATGAATATAAATTATTTATTAGTAAAACCAAGTTTGCTTATTTCTGTCATTTTTTTATATTCAATTATTTTCAAAGTTATTTCTGTTTATTCATAAATGAATATGAATATGATATATTCATTTATGATTAATTTAGGAGTAATATGTTAGTATAACAAAGTTCAGATATGAACATAAAAAAGTTCAGATATGAATATAACTTATTTATTAGTATAACAAAGTTCACATATTTGTATTCATTTATGCTAGTTTTCAATTTTATTTAAGTTATTCATAATTGAATACCAACATTGTATATTCATTCACCTTTAATATGTAAATAATAACATCTTCAATGATAAATAAATCCACATATTATGTATTCATTTATGAATAATTTACAAATAATATGTGTATTTCACATATAAAATTACCATATCAATATAACTTATTTAATATAACTTATTTAAAAAACAAATATGATATATTCATTTTAAAAGAACATATATTTCAAATCTCAATTTACCATATCAATATAAATGTGTATTATTCATTCATGAATATTATTGTTTATGGTTATTATCTGCATATATTCATAAATGAATAAAACCAAAAAACATAAAAACAAAAACCAAAAACAAAAACAAAAACGCTAAATGTCTTTTGTTGATTGAGCAATTGCAATTCTTACTGAACATGTACGTAAATTGTGAGGAACTCGTTTTCCACATCCTGAACAGATTCTATGTTCTTTTTTAGAATTTTCATATACTACTTCACCTGCACTTGGAATTCTTTTCTTGATTCCAGAACCTTTATTGCTTTGAACTTGAGGAACATGAATATTAATCTCTTTTGGAATAGGAATAGAAACACCCATAAGCTTGCATTCGACTTCACCATCCGTCTTGCTTTTCAATCCAACAGATGTATAATCACTCTCACTCTCAAATTCCTTTTAACAACATTTGTTGTTTCTCAGCAAACAAAGTCAATTTCTTTTTGTCATCTCTTACAATATCCAAACACGATTCAAAATTATAATATGAATCGTTGACTAGCTTCACATTCTCACAATCCCCTGAATCAGATTGAAGAGAAATAAAACGATAATTTCTTGATATCACATCCTTTCTCCATCTTTTTAGAATGTACCTTTCAGGAATTTCTTTCACACCACATCTCATCATTATTGTAAAAGCATGTCTGCATAAAACACCCATACGCTTGAAATGTTCACAACTGCAATTTATTTCTTTCTCTTCAGCTTTTATTTCAAACTGATACAAAAACATAATAAAAAAATGAAAAAACAATTTAAACAAAAATTACACATTTACATTCATATATGAATACTCATATATGAACAATTATATATTAGTATTCATATATGAATATATATAAACATTACATTTTTCATAAAAAACTATTAAATTACCTTAAATTCATTTTTAAATTCTCTTTTAGTGTTGTTGTGTTGCACAATATAAACTTCCCACCCATCTTCAATACCAACATACGAGTATTTACAGAAAAAACTTGCTTTATATATTTCCTTTTCCACCTCAAAAAATAATGTACTTGTATAAACATTTGATGCTTGTAGTTCTATTTCTCGAGGTGTTTGCATTTTATATGATGCTTTGATGCCTTATCAAGCTCTCGTTGAGTATTCCTTTGCTTTTGAATGGCAGTGTCGTAATTCATCATGAAATTCAAAATTAAATTACCACTTTCTGAGTAGGTATTAAAGAATGAATTCATACTCTCTGACCTCGACGTATTCTTCATCAACCCACACATTGCAATATCATTAAAATATCCAGGTATCCATGAATCACGTTTTGTAAACATGTCTTTAAACCATCTCGTGTCTTCCAAATTGAATTCTTTCATAAGCAAACCCCATTTCACCTCAAATACATCAGGTTTCATATTAATGTCCCAAACAAGCTTCGAGAATCTTTTTCTAAAGTCTGTGTTTGTAAATAAATCATCTGATATCTTTATTAAAACAAAAATAATATAAACTTCTATATTTATTCATAAATGAATAAATATCAATAAGTAAAATATCAATAAATATTCATAAATGAATAAACTAATATTTGAAAAAATTACTATAGTCATCTATGAATAACTAAATACTATCATACATATTTGAAATATAATAAAATAATACCTTGTTTTTCAACTTCTTCATTATATGCCACATACATAATCACTGCTTTGGATTAGGAAAAACATTCCCAATATCTTGTTTTATTGCAGCATCTTGATCAGTTAAAACAAGTGTTGGTTCTTTCCCATGAGTTTTAAGAAACGCT